CCGGGCTGCGGCTGAAGGGGGGATGCCCCTTCTTCTGCAGGCGGCTGATGAACCCCAGAACCGGGAATGGGGGCTGCTGGCTTTTGTTTATGGCGCGTTTAAGAGTACAAAAGTTGTCTCAAAATTTGCCACCAACAGTGAATTTTATGTACCGAGGCCCACGTTTAATCCCCGTACAGCTACGTTAGCGTGGGCTACATGTGATCTTAAGTCACGCTGTGGTTTTGTTTGTGAAGTCATGGCCCCTTACAACGGCAAATAATGCTTTTTTTTTTTTATAAAGTATAGAAACCACTGAAGGTAGTAGCAGCGTGAATCAGTCTGGTAAAGGTGTATCCCCTTCCAGCACTAAACTTAGGGAGATGCTAAGGTTCCTTAAGGCGGTTGTTAAACATCAACTAGTCAAGCATCACAGCCCTGGAAGGTGTACTAAGAGTACCGCCCTATTTCACTGCCAGAAGGTGCAGTTTAAGGATACGCGCGGACTACCGCGCGCGACGCTGCAGCTCGGCGATTCAGAAAAGGCAGCTCCTTCTGCATCAGGGCAAGGAAGACTACTTTCATCCCACCCCTTTTTGACTAACGGATGGTAAGATCTAGCCACGCAGTAACAGCCGTAACAGTGAGTACAAGCCCTGCAGGACCGCTTCAAGGTTCATCCCGCAACGCGGGCTCTCGACAGGCTGTCAAGTGCAAAAGGCAGGTGGGGAGACACAAGACGAACAGTCAATATAAATACATAACAATTAGAACTGATGAAAAAACACAAATTAGTTTTTTGAAACGTGCCATTTCATTGGAGCAATTAAAAATAAAGTAGGAAGGAATTTAAGCTTCAAGTGGCCCAGTGACTACATTAACTTGGGATGAAGAAAATCCAAATTCCAATCTGGAAGAGGGGTCTCTCGCACCCTCTGTATGTACTTTGGTGTAAAGAAAGAAATGAGGGATTCTCTCCCTTTCTTTCAAAAAAGATTGGAAAGATTAATAAAGACAAATTCTAAACCACACTGAAGCAGTTCTAACAAGCGCTATTTCAAATTATGTAACTACCTGAATTAGAAGACTTATTTTATACATTCCTCTCACGAGTGCTTTTAAGAACATGTTCACATACCATCTTTCAAAATAGGATCTTGCTTATTAACGAGGACATTGCCATTCAATGTGAACACGAAATAAAAATACACGTATAAAGCAACATCAAATATGCATCCTTTCACTCATTTTTGCCCTTTTATAGTCTTTATTATGTAAGAGGAAACCGTTCCCTACCCTTTCTGCCTGCAGGAATTATTGGCACAGCATATTGAGAACCTGCAGTTAGGAAAGGGGCACCATGTCAGTAATTGAGTCCCTACTACATGCCTTAGAAAACATTATGATTGCCTCCATCGTTGCCCAAGTTTTAGGCATTTTTGGCTTTGCTGGAATCTCTAAGACCGCATTCCCAGTAACAGCTGTGTAAGCGGCACTAAACAAGATACAATCATTTTAGTCTTCACTCGCTGCACTTGACAACGCAGTTTAATAAGAAGAGCCTCCTGTAGACCAACTGACATCTCTGCTTCCCCGTATTTCACGTCGGTGGCAGAACGACTCTTAAGGTAAAACACATTTTCTGTCTCTGATGTTCTCCAATGGGGAATTGGTGCTACACCCTCCTCTCAAAGTACATTATATTTCACGTCGGTGGCAGAACGACTCTAAGGTAAAACACATTTTCTCCCTCTGATGTTGTCCAACGGGGAACTGGTGCTACACCCTCCTCTCAAAGTACATTATGTTGTTGATGTCAGTATGCTGTCTCCCTGCTTTCCACCATCGCACTCCACCAGAAGCAACAACTGCACTACTTATTAGTCACTGTATAGATCATAGCTTTCACCCTTTGTAAGATAAGCCAAGTAGCAAATACTTGGCTTTTTCCTCAGTGTGAAGCATTGCAAGGAACACCAAGGTCACAATCTCAACGAAGCACACAATCTACCCTGAGGTATATTACACTGTGAGCTCCAGAAAAGCAGAGCAAAATAAGAAGATACTCACAGCGGTAGTCCACCACCTAAAAAATGACAGATACCCACTGTGAAGGTTAAATAAAAAATAAAAAAAAACTTAGTGCAGAATTATCACACCAATACAAGTACAGAAAACAAAGTTTTCAGCAAGAACACAAAGAGTAATTAAAAAAAAAAAATTAAATGTGGGAGAAAATGAAGAGCAACTTTGCACCAGAACATGACAAAGAAGTGGATCTACAAAATACTTTCAATATCCTACATCTTGGGGAGAGGACAGAGAGCAAGATTTGTTGAATTTGTCGGGTTAAGAACGGCTCACTGAAAGGCATCCCTTGTTCCCAGCCAACTTAGTCCTTCCTTTCCACCATTCAGTGTTAAAAGCTGCCCAGTGCCAACAGGAAAGCCTCCCACCAAGCCCCTGCTGTCCTTCCTCAAGCAGTTGGAGATCTGACCTATATAGCACCTGACCCCAAATAACGTTTCCAGACGTTGCCAGTCACTTCCAAATAGACCGACGAGTTAACGAGTGGTTTTCTCTACACTAACGGTGTAAAATTGGTACCCTAAGAATATCATTTACAAATGAAACTAAATTTCCCTTAAAAGACGAGAGGAAAAAAGTAAAAACCACTGGAATGCTTTGTGTTTTCTTCTAGCAGTTTAACCATTGCATAACACGAAAGAAAACTCAAAGAAACGCAAGCAATTCCTGTGTTTGGAAGCCAACGGTTAAGATACAAACAGCAGCAATTTCCTCCGAGAAACCTGTGAGTTTTACCACACGATTCATGGTTCCTAGGCATACGTTCACCGCACATATGGAATCCAGCAATTGCCGTATCAAGGAACGTAATTGCCCATCTTAGTAAGGGACTGTGTAGTGCATCACATTTAAAGTACGCTGACAACGGTAGCTCTTTATGCCTAGAGCCTCAGACAACTGTCCAGCTTATGTCCTGAAACGTGGTATTACAATACAGTGCAATATAATTATACTATCTAAGTTTTTCCCCAATACACCACAAAATTTATGGTTTATGTTACATTCCTGGCCCCAGTGATGTCCTGCAAGGAGTTTCTCCCTTTAAAAGTCCAGGCACTTGAACAACAGCGTGGCTCAGACCTCATACTCCCTCCCCACCTTTTTTTAAGTAAAAAAAAAAAGATACAGCACGAAATTGCAAGATCCCATATAAGCCAGTTGTTTCTGAACTGAACCCAAAGAAAATTGTTCTTTCACGATGCATTCATTATAGGTACATAACCTATTACCATATTAAGAAAGAAAAATTCACAAAGTAAGAAACTGTGTTCCTTTGCTTTATTATGAAGTACCGATACCTTGCATACAACATGCAATTTATTGCTTATTGACATTATTGCATATATCAAAGGGAAAAAAAATAATCAGCCAATATCATTTTATGCAAGCTCCTAAACTGTTCAAACAAAATATAGAAATGCTTTACAGTATCACTGAAAGGCAAACAAATAATTCAGATTTTTTTTTAATAATAAAAAGTAAATTTGAACCCATAATACTTAATCACTGGCCTCACTACTACTGATTACTTTTATCACCGATCTGCGGAATTGTTATATTGGATTTTTAAGTTCTTGTGCCGTGATAAGGATTGCTGCTACCATCAGGCCACATTACTATTTGAATCTAATAACGCGATCCTGACATTTTGTGACAGCATTAGTATTTACTGCAAACCAGATTGTCAAGATTTACCAGAAATCAGTCTAGTGGAGTTTACAGTTTTCGTCCTTGCTCTGCACATAAGTTAGATATATCTATCAAGTTTCTTTTTAGACAGAAGATTATATAAACATTTTTGAATTACAGGCCCCGTTACTTATGCCTAACTTGTAACTCGTTTGTTCCCAACAGTTTTTGTAATTTGGTTTTGTATCAGGTTAGCTGTGCTTACGTGTTAAATTGTTCTACGTATATAGGCATCTGTAGATATTAAAGAAAACACTGTTTGGTATACGCATGCTAGAAACA